GCTTGGGGAGGGTAGACACAGGGAGAAATCGGCTTTGGGGGGAAACGTGAGGGTAAGGTCCTCAGAATGTTCTGATTTAGTGGTTCTTGCCCAAAAGGAGAAAAAGATGAGCAGAGTCTGACGCCGATACTAAATGTTCAATAAGTGCTATTAGGATTACTCATGTGATGATATAATCGTTGTTTTCTTTGGCTGCCTTTTGGTAGCATTTGAGAAAGTACATTAACCACCTAAACATTTGCCAATGCAAATCAATATTTATCTGATTTTTATATTTACAAAAGCCAAGGTCTCCAGGTTTTCCTCTGAGAGACCCCAGCTGGCGATTCTGCAAACTCTTCAGGTCAGTGGCATCACTGGGAACAGGCAAACGGCCACGGCCAAGTCCAGAGAAGACTAGCAATCCCTTGCCAGAGCAGGCATGGTGAAAACATCATCTCACACTCAGGTGCTTGTGTGTGTGTGTGTGTGTGTGTGTGTGTGTGTGTTGCTACCCACATTTTCACTTTCCAAGGTTTCACTCTGCTCTGAGGGTGGTAGGCTCTGAGTGGCTTTTAAGACGTTCAATTCTTGCAATTACTTTTACAATATGACCCAAGATGTAATAGATCCTTGAAATGTTCTAGGAAATATTTTCAACATCCCAGTTTGGGAGAAAAGTAACAAAAGTGGGATGCCCTAAATAGACTAAAACAGAACCAAATCCCCAAACTCACTGTCAGCTAGTAGATTCCAACTTCTAGCAGCCCTGCCAGGCAGGGCAGTCCACAGCGCCCGTTGGTTTCAGAGACTGTCACTCTTGCCAGAGGAGGAAAGCCTCATCTTTCTGACAGAGCGGCTGGTGGTTGTGAACTGCAGGCCCTGTGGTTAGCAGCCCAAGGATTAACCACTATGCCACTACAGCCTTAACTAACTGTTTCCTCTTCAAGGTTCTCAAAGTCCCACGATGGCTGTTTTGTCAACACTTCTTTAGAAGACACGGATTGTTTATCTGTTTGATAGTTTAGAATCTAGTACCACAAACTTCATGTACTCTGGACATGCTAACAAGTCCCTGGAAAAGGACTTCATGCTTGCTAAATCAAGGGACAGGGAATAGAGGAACACCTCCGATAAGATGAACCAGCACAGTGGCTTCAACAAGGACTCGCACATTAAGCACAACTGTGAGGGTGCTGCAGGATGGGGTAACGGTTTGCTGTGTTGTACACAGGTCGCTATGGCTTAGAACTGATTCGACGACAACTAACCACCACCACAAATTTTCAAACAACCTTATTCTGACTGACAATACATTCATCAAATTGTTTCCTGAGAATCTTTAGCTAGCGTGTTTGATTTGAAGTCCTATGGTTCACTTGCTGAGGGAGGGAGTCCAGGAGGAGGCATTCACACAAGTTTCTAATGGAAGTGGGAGAGGGTAGAACATATTTTCTCAAACTTATTTGGCCTACTGCCCCCTTTACAGAAAAGAAAAAAAATTGTTTGGCAACTCCCAAACAATTGAAAACGTTTGTACTATAGGCCGCAATACAAGATATAGGGTAGTGTGTGCTTTTGCAACCCCATTAGATGGATCCGGTGCCCCAGGGGGTGGAATCGCCCACTGTGGAAAACCCTGGGGTGGACAAACATGGAGGCACACTCTGCTGTTAGCAGGGTCAGTGCTCATGGAGAAAGGGCCTTTGGTAAACAGGCCCAGTGGGCCTTGCCTTGACACCAGGTTAAAAGTGTTGAATCCACGCTCTGCAGGGGCTTGGATTTTTTTATATAGGAAAAAGTAGGCCCCAGAAAATAATAACCTATAACTTATTGAGGGTTCATGAGGGAGGGAGGGGAAAAAATGAGGAGCTGATACCAAGGGCTCAAGCAAAAAAGAAAATGTTTTGAGAATGATAGTGGCAACAAATGTACAAATGTGCTTGACACAATGGATGGATGGATGGATTCTGATAAGAGTTAGACGAGCCCCCAATAAAATTATTTTTTTAAAATAAATAATATTAAATGTAAAGAAATAAAGATTAATTTTTAAAAAAATAAGGCTCCATATGAGCATTTGCACTGGCAAATGTCCAAGCAGTTAATGGAGTGTTTCAAATAGCACTGAGAGGCAGCCAGAAAAAAACAATCAATTAAACCTGTTAATTCATCATTATGCATATCCGCCATTTTTTCTGTGACATGATCTCACCACTGCAAACCTTGCTAAACTATTTCAAGAATTCAGTGAGATGCCCAGGGAGCTCCTACAACAGTCAGGTATTTGGAGCTACTCTCTGGACTTCTCAAGATGGAAATTAATTTTGTTATGAATACCAACTTTGGTGTTATTTTCACAGCTAGTCTATCCTGACAAAATGACCACAGCAGAGGCACAGAGGATCTTAAAATCATGTTGTTGTTGCTGTTGTTATTGTTGTTAGGTGTGCTGGTATAGTCACCCTGTGCACAACAGAACAAAACACTACCCGGTCCTGTGCCATCCTAACAATGGTAATGTTGAGCCAGTGTTGCAGCCACTGTCTCAATCCATCTGGTGGAGAGTCTTTCTTTTTGGGGTGATTATTAAGATCAGAAGACTCTAAATATTCTTTTTTTTTTTTTAATTTTTTTTTCTGGATAATATCCTTTAATCCCCCCCCTGCCCCCCAACTCTAAATATTTCTGTAGGCATAGGCGAGCTCACCAAGATTTTGCCTTGTGGCTTAAACAGCCTTTGTGTAGTGCAACCCAATAACATACGGGAGTAAATGGGGGCTTAGAGTCAATAGTCAAATCCAAGTGTTAGGGTTTGGGGACAGCCCAGGCAAGTACAGCTGCTGGAAGATGACTGTGGCAGGTGAGCACATGGAGGCTCTACAAGGTCACCGCTGCCAACCTTGAATCTGTGCACTGTGACAGAAGGTGACTGCTCTCACACCCAATTGATGCGGCTGTCAGCCTCCCACTAAACCACGCAGGCGGTACATACACAAGCCAGCAGGTGTTCAAGTCACACCAGGGCAAATCTTACTTGAGAGGGCAGAGGTGCGCTTCCCACTCTGCACCCTAGAGGTCTGGTCCTGCACAACGACTTCACTCGCAAACGCTACTAAGGCCGAACATGGCAACCACACACAAAAATGAGCTGCTGTGAAACCAGACGTACCTTTTTGAGGGGAACTGTACTTCTAAACCAGTTATAATCAGGAGAGACTTTAATCTCCCCCATGATTAGCTGAAATGGAAGTTAACCCTGAAATAAAACAAGAGGTTTCATGTCAGTAGTTCATGCGTACAAAGTGCAGCGTCTGGTCAACGATAATCAGAAGGGCAACGAGTAACGTGGAGGAGATGGTTTTACCTTATCAGTACATACTTAACACTACAGAGAACACTTGTGTGAGATCCAGTCACCTCGGAGCTAGCAGGGCTGCCATCGGGTCTGTTCACATTCCCAGGGACCCTATCTGGGGTTTCTGAGACTAACTGCAGCAGATGACCTCCTATTTCTCTGCCGAGTGGTTAGTGGGTTTCAACCACGGACCCCTTGAAAACCCTTATTCCGTTCTCTTTAGTTCTTCCATGGAGCCCTGTTGGCACTGTTGGATGAACATTGGATTATTAACTGAAAGATCCATGGTTCAAATCCCACCTGCTGCTCCATGGGAGAAAGAGGAGGCTGTCTGCGCCTAGAAAGATTTACAGCCTCAGAAACCAGTCGCTGTGAGTTGGTGACAGTTCATTCCTCCAGAAGCGTAAACTAGCTTAGAAAATGTGACTTTCCGGAGACCCAGTGGCTGTAGCAGAGCTAGGACCAGGCACATACAGCCTTTCCCTGACACCCCAACCACCACCACCCCATCCTGCCTGTTCTACATGATTCAGATGAAACCGGACACGATCAGGGTGGTATGGCCGTAGACTGCCCAACATGATTCAGAACTGTAGCACCCTCACTTGTCTTTTGAGATTATTTTAAGAGCTCATTTTAAGAAATTAGCTCCCCTCTGGGGTAATTACGGGGACTAGTCACTCTAGGAAAAGGTCTTGACATACACTTGCTTCCTCGTTAACCTCCCAATGCTTTGTAACCCTAGCTCTCCCGGAATAGCCTCACAAGTACTTCTCAATGTTCAAAGAAGCAAAACCGGCAGTTCACACTGATGAGGTGGAAGTTACACACTATTCTTGGAAAGACCTCTGAAAAGATACCAGACTAGACTGAGGGCACTACACCTAACAACGAAAGGGCACGCTGGCCTGGAGGGAAAAGCTTGGTTTTTGTGGAGCCTCAGTGACATAGCTCTGGGACCTTGGATAAACCACTGATTCTCTTGGGGTTAGTATAACCTGCTCACTACTCCCCAAAACCGATAATAGCACCTGGGATACCGCAAGCATTATTTATTGATTAAGTGACTATGTCCTGGGGAAGACTGAAGTAGGCAGTCATAGTGTCCCTTCTAAACCTGGTAATGGCATGAGCTTTGCATGGGTTGAACAGCTTCAGTTTAAAGGTCTGTCCCCCCTTTGCTCAGCCATCTGCGCTCTGTTGGAGGAGGAATCTGAACACTTTGCGTCTGGAAGGAGTCAAATACAGGTGACTCTTGAACAACTCAAGGGTTAGGGGACACCAACCTCTGGAGCAATAAAAAATCTGAGTATAATTTGTCATCCACCCTCGAACAACATTGGCTTGAAGTAAGAGGGCCAACTTACACTGGACTTTCCCCTTGCTAGGAGCCCTGGTGGGACAGCATTTACACGTTTCGCTGCTAACTGCAAGGTCAACAGTTGGAAACTACTAGTTGCTCCTCAGGAGAACACGAGGCGTTCTACTCCTGTAAAGAGTTGCCGTCTCGGAAACCCACAGGGCAGTTCTACCCTGTCCTACAGAGCTGCTATGAGTTGGAATCGACTCGATGGCAGTGAGTTTGGTTTTTCGGTTCTCCCTGCTGCTATGGCAGTGAGCTCTGGTTCCAGTAGCTGAGTTAAGCGCTGCTCATGTGGGGGTGATTCGCATCACATGGCTTTTTAAGCGGATACTCCCAAGACTGAGCTCACCCCATCAGCAGCAGGGGTGAAAATTTGGGCCCACATAAAACAAACTTGTGTTGTTTGAGGGTGGGCTGTGCTTGCTTTACACGGGCCCTGGGGCAGGTCTGGATAACTTGTGTTGTCCCAGAGGCAGTTCCCTGGACTGGCAATGCGTGAAAGATTACAAACCCAAAGGATTCTTCCTTCTCCTCCCTCTGGGAACACAGGGTCTTAGGCAGTCTCTCTGCGACTTCTGACCCCTAACCAGAACCCCAGGGAGACAGTGAACCTAGACATCCCGATACGACACTTGCTTTACAAGCAGGGCATTGTAATCAGGATCTCTTCTTTCAAGTTTAAGATGATACTTTGGAAGAGCTTCTTAAAATCATAAGTTGCTTTGAAGTCCCATGAAAATCATCAGCCAGCCCTACACTGAAAATCACTGTGCTCAGACATGGTGATTATTCAGACAGAACAAAGGAAAGAAAATTCTCTGCATGCCCATTTTATCTGAACAAATATGAAACATGTTCAAAACTCCAAGCCGGCTGAACCTTAGTCTCTCTAAGCTGGTAACAGCCTTTACTGAAAAACAACTAGGGCATATTGTTTAATTCTGGACTATTTTTTACCTGGATAGACTTAAAATAGTAGGCATTTTACAGTTATTTATTATTAGATATGGTTATTCTATAGGGGGTAATGTAAAAAACATGTTTTTTTGCAAATAAAATCTACTTTAAAAATTTACAAAAACATCTTGGCTAATTAAAGGCAGAAAGTTTGCTTCTAGCTTCTCCATATTCAGGATAAAAAAAAAATCACTCACAATTTTAGAATCCATTGCAATGTATGCACCAAACAACTCTACAAACATGCATGCACACACCACACACAGGCACACACCTCCCCAGAGCAGTCAGTAGAGCGCCGTTCCTTACCACACCACTCCTCAGGCCTATCCACACAACCTCAGCGGTGTAACACTTTATAACCAGCCCCGCAGGATGGAGTGATTCAAGCCAACTGTGACTGAATTGTTGTACAGACAAGTGATCTGAACACTTGTGCTGGTCTGGCAGTACTTGAAAGGTAAAACAGATACCAAATGTTACATCTGACCAACTGCCATTTCCAAGGAAAAATTAAAAAGACAAAGAAGCTCACTGGTGCAAAGGGAAAACAGCTGTGTATGGAATGAAGAAGGAAGTCTGTTCTCTCAGCTGTCTTCCATCCACTAAGTCTGAGGTTCTCAACCTGGCTGACCACCTGGGCATGTGATAACACTACATCCCCCTACTGATGCTGATCCATTAGGTTGCACCGACCTTTCGGTTAGCAGCACAGTGTTTAGCCCTCCGTGCTCCTCAAAGCAAAAACCAAACCCACTGCCATTAAGTTCATGCTAACTCGTAGTGACCACACAGGACAGGGTAGAACTGTCCCTGTGGGTGTCTGAGACTATAACTCTTTATGGAATAGAAAAGCCACATCTTTTTCTAGCATTATGCCGGTAGGGTCCCTAAACGTTTCCCAAATCACAAGTGCCTCTGTGTCTGCCGGAGAAGGTTGCAACTGCACGTTAACTGACCAGGAGCAAACCTGCAGCCTGAGCTCACATTGATCACTCACAATTCGATTCTTCACTAAAAGCAACAGCATGTGGTGCTGGTGGGGAGAAAGGGGCCACACAGATGAGGCTAAGTGTTGCTCAAGGAAGCCTGTCCGAGGAGGGGCTGCCTAGGAGGCTCTTGTGGGGCCAGACAATAAAACTGCTCAACATGAGGGTGCACAAAGGGTTACATGTACTTGTCCTGCAGGTTTCAACAGAACTTTCGAGTTTACAAGCAAGAAAACTGCCTTCACACATGTTTAAGAAGTCACATAACTAGCTTATGTAGTCAGAGGCTTCCAATCTTTTCTCTCAATCCAGAGTTGATCTACATATGGACAGCCTGTGGTTATTAAATATCAGCAATAAAAAAAAAGACCCAGGAGTCTCTGGGTGGTGCAGTTGGCTTTTTAATGCAACTAAACATCTATTGTGTTCAACATCAACTTTGTGAGGATGCACAGGACCGGGCAGTATTTAGTTTTGTAAAATGGGGTGTTCTGGGTTGGAATGAGCTTGATGGCAACTAACAAGAACAACATGGTATGATGTGTGAATTATATGCCAATACCACTGTTGAAAACAGCAATACCTAATGATTCCGGCACAAAGCTATTTTTTAAAAGATCTTTGCCAAAACTGAACCCATTGCCATCCACTCAATTCAAATTCACATCTACCCTCCAGGGCAGAGCAGAGCTGGCCCCAGAGCGTTTGGCCAGTGCTTCCACCCCTGTGCTCCTTTAAATCTCTTCAGGTAAGATTTTTCCTTCTTTTCTTCAGGAACCTACTCCAGTATCTTCTAAACCTCATGGAGGAAAAAGCTGCCAAGACACATCTCACCTTGCACTCTGTCTTGGTATAAAAGCTTTTGGAAATGTCGACAGAGCTAAGTTACTCCTCCATCTCTGGAATGTTTGTGCCAGCAGGAGCGGGGCTATCCCTTGCAACGCTCCCCAGAACAACGGGGATGGGCTCGCCTTGCTACTCTCCCACCTGCCCCATTCACAAGCTTCACAACCTGGCCCCACATGCATCAAGGACAGACATTTGTCACCTGCAGGCTGAGGTGAAATCTAAAAAACAAAACGGCCACAGCTCAGTTTTTGACAAGTTTACTCAAAGAAACAAGTTCCTGGCTGAGGCAGTCAGTCCCAGGATGAGTTTACGGGAATATGCCCGGGGCAGGGCCTCCCCTCTTCCACCCCGCTCCCCACCCCCACCCCC